CCACAAGAGCGTAGCGCGCGGAGGTTGTGCCATGCCCTTCGCCACGTCGCGGGAGGTGGCGCGAGCGTCCCAAATGTAAGTTTGGTAGCTCTCTGAGGTCCACCTCCCGAACCTCTTGACGAGGGCGGCATTCCCAAAGGCCGCCCACAAGGCTGAGGCGCCTCCAAATCGGAGGCTGTGAGTTCCGAGCGAACCCTCTGGTTCGCCCAAGGCTTCGGCGGCCTTTTGGATCAAAACCGTGATCAGGGCGCGAGGGAGCGGCTTACCCTCTTTGTCCCTGAACAAAAGGTCGTCCGCCTCCGGTCCTCCTGGGAAGCGGGTTGGGAACGCCTCAAAAAGTTCGATAGCTGCGGTCAGGGAGAGCCCGGTTCGATAATGATTCCGATACTCCCCTCGGTTGTAGACGTCGGTTTTTGAGCCCCTGATAAACAGGGTCAGTTCGTCGGCCTGGCGCATTTCCGCCAGGCGGAGCGGGCGTAGGTCTCGCCCGCGGAGGCCTCTTTCCAGACCCACGTACCCTGCGTCGAGGTACTCGGAGGCCCGGAGCAAGTAGAAGAAAGCCAGGCTCACCGCCGCCCATTGCAGAGCCGCCTCTTCCGGCGAAAGGTAGCCCCCAAACAGGTACGGACTTCAGCCAACGCAGCATGGCTAGGGTCACCGGTCGCCGCCTCTCCTTGGTGCCATACCTCTTTTTCAGGCCCGCAAGAGTGAGCGAGGCAGGCAGGCGGTAGGGTCGGGGAGGCCCGACGTCAGGTGGAAGGCCCTGAAGCCGCAAGGCGGGTTTTCACCGTCCCTGGAGCCTTCAGCTCGTTGATCCCACAGTGGATCACGAACTGAACGAACAGGGACTCTTCTGCCTGGCAGTAGCGCTCCACCTTCCTTGAAGGAGAAACAGAGTTCCCACCACCGCCAGTCTTCTGGGTGGTCTCGGCCAGCCGCGCTAGTAAGAGGGAGAGGGTCTCCGCCTTCCACTCATCGCGCCCTTACACGGTGGAAAAACGATGCCTGGAGTCTGAAGGCATGAGTGCAAGAGCTTTCTTCGCACCTGCCAGGAAGGGGACGGTGACCGACACAGAGGGGTCGAAGCTGGAGGTCCCTGCTTCACCCCATCCCTGGAGGGTAAGGGCGAAGACCCACAACAGAGCCAGAAGCAAGATTCCGGCCGCTATCGCGTTGGTCCAGTCCCCTCAGTGCGCGAACGCGTGGTTATGATCTCGCCCAGCAGGGTCCGTGCGATGCCTTCTCTCCAGCGCAGCCGGAACCCGCCTTGTGTCCAGAGGCAGGCAGTCGAGGCAGGCGCGGTAGCGCCAGGCTCTCCGGCCCCGCAAATGCCGGCAATCGGGGAGATGGGAACACTCCCCCCAGCGGTGGCTGCGATCCCATCGCGAGCGGCTAGCAGCTGGACCCCTATTTCGCGGCGGTCTTCCGAGAAAGGAAACGCGCGAAGACGGGCCCGCAGAGGAGCCCCACGAAAAACAGTGTGAGGGGAATACTTCCTCCCGGGCCACGGTTGGAGGAAGTGGGCCCGGTTCGGTGCCCTTTGCTGTCTGCTTCACCCTGTTGCGAAGCTGCAGGGGAGAGACCCACGGGCCCAACCAACGTGTCGGTTCCCAAAGCTGCGGCACAGGAGGGGAGGCCGTCTGAAGCGGCTTTGGCTTTAGCCTTGCGGGCCTCACGGCGCCTCTTCTTGCGGGCTTGGGACTCGGGCTGGCGGCGAAGCGCCTGCGGGCCACTTTCTCCTTGGCAGGGTATGCCGAAAGTCCTTCAACTCTCGGCGAGCCGCCTCGTCAAGGTCCCTGTCGAGCTCTCGCCGGCACGCTTCGCTTCCCTTTGCTCGGACCCTGCCGAGTTAAGAGGGGGAGGCCCCTTGTTCGCGTTCTCGGCTTGGTGTCGTGCTGTCCGTAAGGACTCTTTAAGGGTTGGCGGCTTCGAGGCGGCGTAACTAGCGCCGCCGCTCCTCCTGAGCGAACCGCTCCAGCCTTTTGCGGGGCCCCGGCTTCGGGGGTGGGCTGAGCCGCTTCGACCCTGGGTCGGTGTTTTTTTTCTCGGCTTCAGCCTCAGCCGGCTCTACGGCTAAAGCCTGGGAAGAGCTAGCGGAGGGCTCAGAGCTGGGCCCTCGGCTTCCTTCTTCGCGGGAGTGCCTCGGCCTGGCAAGGCCTGCACAACTGTAACCTCTTCCTCGTCTCCAGACGTCCAAAGCGGCCACGTACTCAGCCTCCTTTTCGAGGGCTGCTTCGGCGGCTTCAGACTCAAGGACCTCCATGGCGAGCGGGCTCAACCACGACGGATTGTCCCTACCCGGTAGGTCGTCCCACTTTTCGAGACGTCGGACGCAGGAGGCTGGGACGTCTGCGTACACAGGTAGACCCCCCCGTGGCGGTAAGCAACGTGGCCTGAGCTCGAGTCTTGCCAGCGCGAGTTGCGGGTACTCCCGGTCACGCGTGTAGTGTCGTGCACCAGGCATTTGGGCATGTCCCTCAGGGGCAGTTCCCACGCGAGTCCAATACTGTGCCCCAACTACCCAGCGATCAGGCGTCGGTCTTGGGGGTCGGTGCCAAAAAGTGAAGCGCTCGTTGTCGTTATCGGCGACGATCTGGAGCACCTCGTCCGCGCTGGTCTCGAGATGGACCACAGAGGGGTGGCGCAGGACGTCTTCGAGGAGGACAAACCCATCAAAAGCCGGCTTTGTGGCGAAGGAGGTTGCTCAGGCACTTGCCCAGCTGGAAGCGGCAGTCCTTGACTCTGTGGTCTTCCTTTTAGCGAGCGCTTCGTCCCAGCTGAGACCACTGGGCAGGTTCCCTGTGGGCTTTTCAGGAGGTCGACGGCTTCTCGGGCCGTGAGGGGCCTGGCACCGGTTCTCTGCGGGCCTTCCTGAGGCAGTTGGCACGAGAAGCGTCCAGCTGCCCGTGCAGCGCAGGCAAAGGCTGGCCGGGTTAGGGGTCACGGCACCCAAAAAAGGGAAGGCTTTCCTCGTGCAGCCAGGTCGCAGGGAAGAGGCGTGCTCGGCTCTTCCTCTACAGGCATTCATGCGCGGGTTGAGGCAGGCCACAACCGGGGGAGTTTCCCTGAACCAGTACCGCCGCCAAGCGGCGAGACCCAGCGAGTAGCGGTTCTCTTCCATGGCACGCGGCAGGGGCGTGCCACTACGGTGCACAAGTTGCAGGGCTACGTCCCTAGCTACGTCCCTTTGGGCCGTCCACAGGAACGCCCGCTTGAGCCAACCCGGGAAAGTTTGGGGAGTCCGGGCTCGAAGGCGAGATCCTCGGCTCCTTGCCTCTCGGAGGGCGAGGTAGCGAGCGCTTCAGGCGGAAAGAGTCAGTCTCAAGCGAGAAAGCCTGGTTGAACGTCCAGTCAACAGCCGCGACGCGGTCGAGTGTGGCATCACCGGAAGCCCACACCACCCGAGAGCGAACCTGAGGGAGGGCGAGCATCTCCGCGAAGGAAAGGGCGGAGACCATGGGATGAGTGGTAGCCCACTCATCCCGGACCTCAATGAGGTACCGTTGGACTTCGACCGCGTCCCAAAACTGACCCAGAGTCTTTCCCGCTCGGAGGGTGTGTTTTCGCGAGGCACCACGTCCCTGGAAGGAGAAGGAGGGCCGAGGAGCGCATTGCTGGCACCCAGCAGACCAGACAAGACGGGCAGGGCTGACAGCTAAAACTGCTGGTTACCCCGCAGTTCCTGCACCAGGGAAAGCTTGACGCACCGGTTGCCCCTATTGAAGTCGGGGAGGGCGAGCAGGTGTGCGGCCTTGGTCAGTTTCGGGGCCGGAAGGTTGTCGGTGTCATAAGCAAGACCCCAGATGATCTGTGAAGTGGAATAGTTGCCTTCTTCCTTGTCTTTTTGCTCGTTGATGGCGCGAGGGCCCAGGGTAGCCCGGGTCACATGCTCGAGCAATTCGGCAGCGATGAACGGGCGCCACCCTAAGTCGGGCTCGACGAGCACAGAATCGTCCATCAGGACCATGGTGCGGAAGGGCGTGGTGTCGTTCCACGCTCCGTCGGGCGGGGCTTGAGCGTTGAACGCTGCACGGATGGTTGCCGCAAAGAGCATGTATTGCCCAGGGGCTCCTCGGAAACCAAACGTCAGCACACGGTAGACGGCCGTCACATCATTGGCTAAACCAAACTCATGACCCGGGAGGTCCGCGGCGAAGAACCGGGTGTCTTCGGTCCGAACTGGGACGCACTTGAAGGCCTCCGCCGTGTCTTTTTTGGCTAGCAGAAGCCGGAGACCGGGCAGAGACAACGCCTTTCAGCTCCGCGCAGTCTTCACAAAGAAGAACCCTGCCCCGGGCGGCGTCGTGCCAAAGTTGGCCCCCAGCCTCGTCGAGGTGGCCTCTGAGGCTAGGGTGAGCCAGCGCCTTACCTTAATGGCACATTCCCGGACTTTCAGCCAAAAGAGAGGGGGGAACTATCCCTTCCAGGTAGGGTGGAGCCTGGCGAAGTTGTCACCCTCCGGCCTCTGCAGGCAAAGGCGCGAAGAAGCGCTATGGCCTTCTTCCAACCTCGGCAGGCTTTGACCACGGCGGTGCTGAGGCGGACCCCCTGCGCGAAAGCTTCACGGCAGTAGGGCTGTGACGTGACCCAGCCCAGGTAAGCTTCAAGGGTCTCGGAAGCGAGTCCTGAATCGCAAACAAACGAGTCCACAGCTTGGCCTCGTCGGCCCCTGTCTGGGTCTTGAGGAGGTCCGGTGTGAGGGGCTCCAAGGCTGACCGCCCCCGTGCGGACGCTTTCCAAGCGAGCTTCAACCAGTTCTGAGCTCGTTGGTTCTGTCGCTTCAACGCCGGGGCTGGGGGCGAAGGCACGCCTCGGCCCGGAGGCAAGAGTAGGGGCACGCACAAGGTCGGTATTCTTTGACGTGACGGGGGCCTCTGTCCCCGATGGAAGCGCCGCAAAGGGTTCCTCCCCCCCCCCAACCCCTCCCTCGGCACGGGGCGCTACCTGAATGGACTTGCCGAAAGAAGAAGCGAGAGAGGGGCCCGACAGTTCGCCAAGGCCACAGTGCAGCAGAGGGAGGAACGGCCGGCCCCAATGCGTGAAGGCTGCAAAGGAGCGGTACCCTGCCACGCAGCCACGCCGAGGGGCCCGATGGCGGTAAAGGAGCAGCGACAGCGATCGGCATGACAGAACAGCTCCCCAACCCCTGAGGTGGAAGCCCCGGATCCAAACGGAAGTCGACCCAAACATGGGCCGGGACCGGGCCAAGAAAAGCCCTCGAACCAGCAGACGGCGACGAAGAAGACGCCGAGAGCTCGCGCAAACGCGCGCCGATCCGAAGCACCAAGCGGGTGCAGGCGCCTCTCCGGTGCGGGTTTCCTCCAGGCGGGACTCGGGGCCAACGCGGCGGAACAACGTTGCTGGGCTTGTACCAAGCCTCAGGTTGGCCGTGCTTCGAGAAGGTCGGCCCAGCCCACAGCTGGGATGACTCGCGTGTTGGCAGGTATTGGAGGGGCACCGGTTCCGTTCGGCCCCTCAGGGCGCCATGGCGCATCCGCGCCACCGCCACCCCGTCTGAAACCAGCAGATCGAGGGGCTCACGGTTTTCGCTGCGCCCCCTGACTTCCTGTTGGACATACTGGGATGACCAGGCGTTTGCAGACCCTGGCCCCCTTCAGCGGGGTTGAAAGGACGTAAGGCCGTGGAGGCGAACGACTTCGTGCCAAGGCCCCTGACCCGTAAGGTACCGATAGAGGGCGTGGGCGTGTCGGAGAAGGGGTATGATGACCCAAGAAACCGTTAACACCGCGAGCTGCAAGCAAACCACGCACACGACTGCGACGGCCAGCCAGTATGCCCACCTGGCAGCGTATCCCACCGAGGCGCACAGCGTGCCGCAGTACACGAACCCGGTATCGACCCACATGAGGAAATTGAGCCAAAAGACGAGAACCAGTGGGCGCGGCTACCTGTGGACTGGTGCTCTCCGGACGGGGAGCTGGCATTCTCGGCCTGGTCCCCGCCAAGGCTGTCCTGGGGAAGGAAGTCCTGTATGTAGAGCCAGGCCCGTTCCCAGGCCGGGCGCGATCCCACGCCACGGCCCTCAGGGGGACTGGGGGGCTCCAAAGGAGGAGAAGGCGGAATCCCCCAGGGAATCCAGCTCCAGTTGTAGGTGGTTTCAGGAGCGGTCAGGTTTGCCGCCATAACTACTACAACATGTACCTTCATGGCGGCTCCCGGCCTCTAAACTGTACAACCTACCTACTCACCCAGTTTGAGCCTGCCGCACAGCGGTAAGAACCCAACGTACGCAAGCTGTACGAAAGATTAGGATGTCTAGGGCTTGAGGCGCAAGGATAATTAAGGGGGAGCTTAGGGGGTCAGGATGGGGGGGGGGGGTGTTATAAGAACCCTCAACCCGAAACCCTAAACCCTTAACCCAA